GGATACAGGAGGAGAAACTGCCTGTGACCATACATGCTACATACCTGGTATTCAGCAGGTGCACAAAGCCACGATGACTCCTCTCTGTTCGGACCCTTCCCTTCCCAGACAGGGCTTCAGGGACTTTGCGACATCGTGGTACTCTCTGTGCCCCTCAAGTTTCTTCTTGCCCCTTGTTAATGATAATGTTGGTTGAGTGCCTTTTCTTATCACAGCCCTAGACACAGGAGCCCATCTCACCCTGCAGGGAGGCTTTGGTGTCAGCATTTTCCCACTTTAGAAGGAAGAAACACAAAGCCAATCCTAGAGGGTACTAGAGAGGTAGAAGGGGGACCCGAAGTTCAGTGTTTTTATTGGTCATAAAGAAAGTTAGAGGCTAGCCAGGGCTATATGAGACTTTGTCTCAAAAAAAGGGGGGAAGGAAGAAGAAAGGAAGGAAGAGAAAAGGAAAGGAAAGGAAAAGAGAAAGCTCACAGGCACAGAATTTTCTCTTGAGCACAAAGGTCCCTGACTGAACCAGATGTCAGCCTAACCACAACTCTTCTCCTATAGCCTCCAACAGGAGACCCAAAAGGTACCCTCGGGGTACCTTTTCTCCCTCCAGAATTCATCCTCAGATAGTTGTGGGGCAAATGTTTGAGTCTTCTTCTTTGACCAACAGGCCCACATCACCAAAAGTCAGTGAGCTATAACCACATGCACGCCTGTCTCCCCCTGAACCTCAAGCAGCCCCACCTTCCAGCCCCTCACTCGCATGAGCCTCAGACAGATTTCCCTAAGCTCTCTCCACTGAGGCACCAAGTTCATGCCATCCAGAAGTTCATCGTGGCTGAGCATCTCCAGCTCATAGGAGCCTTAAGTGACTCGCCCTAGGTTGTGATAGGATCCTGTGGGATGTGAATATTCTCAGTGTCTCTTACCAAGTCTTGGAAGATACAGGGTTTATCTCTTTCCCAAGCCAGTATCCTTAACCAGCTCCCCTATTCTGCTCATGAGTCCCTTGACCTGCCTCTCTTCAACTGTCTTCTTACCGTTACCCTCTCTGCTCTCACCCGCCTCCTAACTGCCTCTTAGATTGTTCACTCCTGGGCATTCCGACAAACCAACTGCTCATGCTGCCCTCCAGTGGCTCAGGCCAGCCCCTCCCTATTGAGGCATGATCATTCTTTGCACTTTCTTAGGAGTTATTTTCCAGGATATGTGCGTCCCAGTGAACCACAGACTCTTTAGACACAGGAACTGTCTAAACTTCCCATCCCCATAACACTGGTCCCAATAACTGTGACCCCAAATTACTAAATGTATTCCAAGTATGGTTGGAATGGATATGAATTGAAACAAAGAATTAGTTCAGTCAGGAGGAATTTTGGTTCATAGGATCATTTAGGTTTTCAAAGTTAACATGGAAGTACTTCTTAACACAGACTCTTACCAAATTACTCACCCAACAGGGTTCTCTGGAGGAACAGAATATGTATGGGGACTTATTAGATTGGGTTACATGGCAGGAAATCAGTAGTCAACAGTGCTCCGATAAAGAAGCTAAGAACATGGTCAGTTCAAGTCCCGGTCAGAGTGCTAAAACAGCCTAGAAAAGTCGCTGATATATTGAGTCCATGTTGAAAGACCCAGAAGCAGAGTCTGAAGTCAGTTTAGGATAGCATGGACTCAGAAGGAAGAGTGCTTCAATCTGAAGGTGGTGGCGCACGCCTCAGCACTCAGGAGGCAGAAGCAGGTGGATCTCTGTTCAGAGCCAGCTGTCTACACAGGGAACTCCAGAATAACGTGGGGCTACATAGAGAGACCCTGTTTCAAAAAACAGCAACAAAAAATTAAAAAAGGAAGGGGAGAGGGAGAGAAGAAGGAAGGAAAAAAGAAAGGAGGAAGGAAGGAAGGAAGGAAGGAAGGAAGGGAGGGAGGAAGGGAGGTCGGTCGGTCTCACTCAGCCTGCTTCTACCTCCCAAAAGTGCTGTAAATTTTTTCCATTTTAGGTTTTTTCTTTTCTATATGGGAAATTAAACTCAGTTTTGCATATGCTTGGCAAGTTCCCCATACTGAGACTCACTCAGTCTTTTTTGTTGTTGTTTGGAGAGTTTTCACAGTTTGTTCTGGCTGGCTTTGAATTCAGTCCATGGGGCTCACACAGGCCTGAAGTTTGTGGGGCTTCTGCCCCAGCCTCCCAAGTAGGTGGAATTACAGGGTCCAGTGATTTTTCTCTTTTTAAATCATCTAACCGTCTCTATGGTTCTTCTACCCAAGGCTTCCTTTATATTAACACTACATGCTATTTGTATTTTAAAAGAGTGTGTGTGTGTGTGTGTGTGTGTGTGTGTGTGTGAGAGAGAGAGAGAGAGAGAGAGAGAGAGAGAGAGAGAGAGGCTTTACTACTGTGTATTTTGGCAGTACTTTTGACTATTAAGAATCCTAGGGATACCACCACATCATCTGACAAAGGGAAGAATTTATAACCATTCTTAAGACTCTGACTTTTCTAGTCTGATTACACTGTTAACTATGATCCTGTTAGCAGGCATATGTGATGCTTTGAATGAGAAATGTCCCACAAAGGCTCATGTCTTTACACCCATGGTCCCTGGTTGGTGGCACTTTGGGCCACCTTAGGAGGTGCACCTCACTGGAGGTGAACTTGGAAAGTTTATGGTCCTCCCCCACTTCCAGTTTGAGCTCTTTAGTTTGTTTACAGTTGAAGATGTGTTCTCGGAGCTTCCTGCTCCAGCTGCCAGCTGCCATGTCTCTCTGACATTGCAGGCTCTCCCTCCTCTCTTCTGGACATCATCATTTCTGATCATAGTGTTTTATCATTGTGGAGGGAAGCATGGTGGCATGCAGGCAGACGACATAGTACTGGAAAAGGAGCTTGAGAGCTCTACACATGGACCCACAAGCAGCAGGAAGAGAGAGACCTTGACTTAAGCATTTGAAGCCTCAAGGACCACCCCCAATGACAAACTTCCTCTAGCAAGGCCACACCTACTCCAATAAGGCCACACCTACATAGTGCTACTCCCTATGGGCCTGTGGGAGCCATTTTCATTCAAACCCCTTCTCTCTTTGCTTCCTGTGTAAGCAGCAGATGGATGCTTCCACCCCGCAGCTCAGCAATGCCCAGAGTCTCCGCCTCTTTTGCCTTGAGTTGATAGAAGGGAAAAGGGTCCCTGCAGGAGACTCCTACTCTTCTTCCCTCTACCTCTTTAGGCCTGGCTCAGATGGACACATATTATCCACTCACGGTGGGCATAGCTGTCTCTGCCATACCAACGCCAAGCAAAGAAGCAGCAGATGGAGGAGGATGGCCATGCACGTGTGGAGAAGGTCAGCACAAGCAAGCCCTCCTGGCACGGTGAGATCAGCAGGTTTGACTGGTCCCAGCTGCCACAGTCATGCACAGGCCTTGTACAGAACATCACCTTTTTGTCGCAGTTACTTTTTTATGGCTGTGATAAAACATCACAACAAAAGCAACTTGTGGAAGGAAGGGTTTGTCTGGGCTCACAGCTCCTGAGGGATACAAGTCCATCACGGCAGGGAGGCGTGACAATAAGCCGCAGGTGTGGCTGCAGGAACAGAGGAAGCTCAGAGCTCACATCCTCATCCACAAACACAAAGCAGAGAAAGCAAACTGGAAGTAGGGGGCATTTTAAGTCTCAAAGCCCACCCCCAAGTGATGTACCTTCCTCCAGCAAGGCTGTACTAACTTAATCCTCCCAGACAGTGCCACCAACTGGAGACCAGGTGTTCAAATGCCCAAGAGTCTGGGGGTTATATCTCGTTCAAATTATACTCACCACCCCATGGGGTTACACACTGCTGAGATCCCAGCCTCAGGACATAGTCAGACCAGCTTCCCTGGAACATTTTATCTAGATTTAGAGTCAAGCACTGTCAAGCAGTCTAATGTTTGTATCTGCAGAATCATTGTGGTTGGCTCTACAGCTGTAACGGATACCAAAGCCCCCTTTATCTAGTGGCAATAGCATTTCATACCGCCCACACATAGCTTTCTACACCTGAGTTGCCTCTAGATCATCACGGACCCGTCGTGGTGAGAGTACCGTGTAAATAAACGTGAGGATGCATTGTCTAGGAAACAGAAAGGCTATTTTCAGTGCAAACCCCACCTTTGCTTCTAAAGCCTTGCAACCCATGATTGGTTGAATCCCAGGTGCAAAACCCATGGTTACAGAGGGCTGGCAGCATACACACTTTCTAACATTTCAAAAAGTTCATGACTACCACCAAAATTACAAATAAAACTAAATCTGACCTAAGATTCTTTCCACTCTGTGGTGTGTGAATATGGTGTCCCCATAGGTTCCTGTGTTTGAACACTCAGATAGTAGTGCATTGGGGAGGCTGTGGAACCATTAGGAGGTACACAGGGAAGGAGGAGGCCACTGGGCTCTCGCTCTCTCTCTTCCTCCCTTCCTCATCCCTCTTCCCTGTCCTCCCTCTCTCCCTCCCCATCTGCCAGCTGGGCCCCATGATCCTGCCGCCTTGCCTTCCTTGTCATGAGAGGCTCTCTCCCTCTGGAATAATTGTAATCCAAAAGCAAACCCATTCTTCTCTTAAGTTGCTTTTTGTTAGGGTATTCCATCACAGTAATAGCAAAGTGACTTACACACCCACCCTGAATAACAGAGGGCCCCCACTTGCTAAACACAGACAGAAATGATCCATTACTATAACTTTGTTATCTGAAATACACAAAGAGGTCATTCTGGGTTTTGTTCTATTTTATTAATTACAAAGTCATATCTCATAAAGACCTGCCAAACAGTTATCAACGAGTGGGGATGTAAAAAAAAAAATACAAAAATAAAAAAAGAAAAGCCCCCAAGCCATATACTCAAAGCCTGGGAGTACAGCCAGCCAACCATAGCTGAAGTAGAGGGAGGCAGGTGTTGGAGATGTCCGGCACTGTGAGGTCACATGGTCTGATCGCTTTGGTTCTTCCCTGGCAGGGCCATAACCCACAACCTTCAATACAAGAGCTGGTATACTGTGGCACTTTCCTTGGAGCCCGTGACCAGGTACTGACTATCCGAGGATATGTCACAGCACAGGATGTCATAGCACTCCTCTGTCTAGAAAAGAAAGGTAAGGACCATGAATGGCTGGGGCTTGAGTCAGACGGGAGGACTTCACGTTTCAAGGTCTTTGTAGACTCAAGGCTTCACTGGGTCATGGACAAAACTCAAAGAGAAGACCATGGGTTCACAGGATCAGTCCTTAATCCCTGCCACTATAAAGTGTCATCTCAGCGGTATCTTCCAGTTCTCTCTGGGACCCATCAAGTAGGGATCTGGGGCCACAAGCGCTGAGTGTTTTGGTCCATACACCTCCACCCCTCACCATCTCCATACCTGGAACAACCTTCGGAGAGAAGGTGCCTCTAAACAATTGATCGTGCTATCCAGCGTGGCCACAAAATGAGTCCCTGGCAAAGGGAAGAACAGAGTGAGAAATCAGAAACTGAGCCTGTGTTCTCATTCCACTGTCTTCAAGTAGACTAGGGAGAGAGCAACTACCTACTCTGCCTCAGTTTCCCTACCTTGTAAAAATCAGGCCCATGTCATCTGCTGCCGCCAGAACCACAGCCAGGACATGGTGATCTATCCCTGAACAAGGGGCCCACGGGATGCGACTACTGCCACTTCTGTCTACCTGGACCTTCAGGCTTCATTCTATATGGAAGTCCTTGTGGTCAAGAGTAGCATAAGGAAAGTGGGGGGGGGGGGAGAAAGTAGGAACTCAGGGGGGCCACCTGGCTTCTAACTCACCACAAGAGGCAAACTTGAGGTTGTGGTGTTGTGAGTATCTCTGGACAACAGCTTTGTACTTCTCCTCCCGGTGCACGTGCAGGATGGCAATGTCACTCATCTTCAAGCCCGCCAGCACCCACTCCTCACTGGGGTCATGGGTAATGCTAAGGATCTGTGGGAAGTTTGCATCTGCGCTCAAAATCGCCAGTGCCCTCATTTAAGCCCTGGCCTCAGATTTACACTCAGCATCCCCCCTGCCCACACCCAAGCCCCCATCCTAGGGTTGAACTTGGTCCTGAAGGCAACCAAGCAGGCACCTCATGGCATAAGTTGTGTTGCTGAATCTTCTGGTAGCTCCTCATGTCCCATGAATACAGGATGGTATCTTCACCACCTGTCCAGAACTTAAAGCCTGTGATGTCCACGCAGCGGGACCCATAGGGAGGAACTTCATGCTTCCTGGTGGGAAAACAACTGAGGTCTTTAGCAAGGTTTGCTCCCCGGCCCAGAATGTAGAAGTGTTAGGAATGTACGGGGTTAGAAAGCACCTAGCATAGCCCTACTGCCAAGAAGGCAAAGTGGGGGTCTCATTCTCAAGTCCTTCCCAAGACACCTGAGTGGTTCTGGAGAGAGGTCCTACCTGATCAAGATTTGGTTCTGCACATCCCAAATCTCCACGAATCCTTTGAAAGAAGCCAAGCAGATGTGCGCATCAGAAGAGAGGGCCAAGGAATAGCATATGGGGCCTGTGGAGGCCATCTGGGCCCTGATTTGGGGTGTGGGAGCCAGGTCCCAGAGAGTAAGAGCCTGGGCTATTCCCCCTGTAATCAGGCTCTGCTCATCAGGGAACAGCTTGCAGGTGAGCACACGGTTCTGAGGGTCCTGGGGAAGAACACACGCTGTCAATACACTTGGCAGTGCTGAGGACAGAGGCCCTGGTTGCCTTCTCAAAACCTCACCTGAAAGTCCAGCTGGGCCTGAGGTGCTCTGTCCGAGGCATGCAACGCGTCTTCATCCCACACCCGGATGTAGCCGGTGCCACAAGTGTACACGTGGAGCGGAGCACGGCTAACAGCGATAGCGTTCACTCGCCTCCCATGTTGGAGAGTGCCAACCCTCCAGGAACCGTATGGGGACTTCCGTGTGACTACGGCCTCATCTGGAATCGGAGGCTGGGGAGATGACAGGACCCGTCAACCATGACAGAGGCCTGCTCTGCCCCTACTCCCCAAATTTCTAAGCTTCTTTCTCATTAGCAGCTTGATTCAGGGGTCCCCAAATCACATCTCTTGTAGAAGTGACACTGTGGTTAAAGGTCCTATTTATCAAAATGGCAGAACAAGGAGAGTAGTCTCATGAAGAAGATGCTATCCCAGGTCACCCCAGAGAAGGGAATAGGGGTGTGCCATTTCTCCATCGAGGGTTTGCAAACACACCGCTTCTCCATTGGAGGGTAGGCGGGAAAGAAAGATGATGTCTAGGTGATAAAAACGTAACCTTAAGCTACTTACAATGGCTTTGAGGAATGACCAGACTTCTTTGTTGAGCAAGGACGAAGAACAGAACTGGCCTGCAGGGAGACAGCCACACCCACCGGTCACGGACCAAGTGTCACCGCATCAGTCACAAGGTCAGAAGGAGAGCTGCTCTCTTACACCAAACCCGGTACCTCACCCACCATCTGGGCTCCAGCTTGGGCTGCCCCCCCTTCCCAACCACACTGTTAGGGCCCTGCACTTACCAGCTGTAGCTCCTGGTTGAGAGCTGTGATGGAGAAGAAAGAGGGAGAAGATGGCATGAAGGGCAGAACTTTGTGTTGAGCCCTCCCTGCCCAGGACAGTCCATCACCCTGCCCAGTTTCACTCATAACAGCCTTACCCTGAGCTGGTTCCTCCTTCTGGTTCTGCTTCTGAGAACTGCATGTGCTGAAGCCCAGATGTGTCCTGGGCCTGGGGATGCCACCGCTGCTGGGTCATACTGTGCATTTCCTGATAAACGGGGTCACGCTGCACTGAGGGACATGGGGGCAGCTGGGTCATTCCCTGTGCACTGTCCATCTGGTGGTGTTCTTGTTGCCATTGATGAGAAAAAATACCAGAGCTTCCTGGCATCTTCTTTATCGCCTCTTCATCATAAATCCTGAGTATCCTGAATGAGTCCTCTTTTTCTTCACTCATGTTCTTGAGTCAATCAAGTGAATGAACCATCTGGCTCTAGGGATGCAGCAACCAGATCCTGGGTTCCCAGTTCATCCTGATCTCCTGTACTATGAAAGAGAGCAGAAAAGGGCTGGGAAGCAGCTCCATTGCAAGTGCTTATTGCACCAGTACGAGACTCTGAGTGCAGATTCCCAGCCTCCATGTACAGAGCCAAGCACGTATTTGCAATCCTAGTGCTAGGCCAGTGGAGGCAGGGGACCCCTGGGGCTTGTTGGCCAGCCATACAACCTGAATTGGTAAACTCCAGGTTTAGTGAGAGACCCTGTCTCAAATAAAAAAATCAATTCATTAAAAATAAGGGGACAGGCCAGAGAGATGGCCCCACAAGCCTGAGAGCTCGACTTCAGTCCTCAAACCTGTGTAAAGGTCCAGATGTGATAGCACACATCTGTAATCTCAGTACTTCTTTCTACAATAAGATGGGAAGCAGAGACAGAATTATCCAGATGTCTGAAGACCAGCTGTCCTGGAGCACACAGTATAGCAACAGACACAGAGAGACCCTGCCTCAAAAAAAAGGTGGAAGCAGAGAAGCAACTCCTGAGACGCTGTCCTCTGGCCTCCACGTGTGCTCCGTGGTGTGTGCACACTTGTATTCATGTGACAGGCACACATGCCTACCCCAAAAAACAACTTCAAAAAAATGTGGAGATTGTTTGAGGAAGACAGCTGACACCAACCTTTGACCCCACATGCACGCACACATGTACACACACTTACACACACAGGAACACACACACACACACACACACACACACACACACACACAGAGGGAACAAAGGCAAAAATCAGGTATACTGTGCAGAGTCTGTTTGTAATGTTCTGGAAACACCTCTTTGGATGTAAGGCCTCAAAAGATCAGCTACCAATTAACTTTGGCGACATGGACTGTGTTTCTGTGTGGATGAAATGAAACCCATCCTTTAATCTGGACATCCCCATATCGAATGTGGCTCATCCCCAAATGTGCCCAGACCCTAAGGCAACAGGAAGTCCACAGAGACCCTGGGGTGTTTCATCCAATGACAACGTGGAGGGGCTTGGGACCATGCACTCTAATGTAAGACGCTCTGTTTGGGGAGAACAGGAGGCAGAGTGAGAAGACTTGGCCTGGCAGTGATTGACGTGTGCTCCACCCTGCGACAATGCTAACATGGGAACAGATTCACGTCTGCACGTTGTGCAGCACTGTAGGAGGCCAGTAGCAAATGATACACGGAGAACAGGGTACTCAGCTGCAGCCTGCGCAGGGGAATGGTGAATTTAAGACAGGCTGGAGCCCTCTTTGGAAAGATTCCACTCCAGTCTATCCAACAGCTAGCCCTAGAAATGTCCCTGGGTAGAAACCCCAGGTTTTTCTATTAAAAGGACCTAAGAGAAACCTCAGAGACATGGATAGCTATGGAGGGAGAATCTTCGTTTCAGAAAATGGTTTTGACAGTCAGGCTCTTTCAATGGCACCCATGAAAGTCTCCAGCAGGACTTCAGCAGAAAACCAGCAGCCTGAAAATGGTTAGTTGTATATTTGGCCCTGAACTAAATCCTTTACATGGAAGGTCTAATTTTTTCCTTGCCACCATATGCTCTATATTTACGGCTGTTGGTTGATTGCTGGTTTGCAGTACAGCAGATCAAGCCCCGGGCCTTCTTTCTACATGCTAGGCAAGTGCTCTATCACTGAGCTGAAGGCCCAGCCTTTCTGGGCGTTCTGTTTTGAGACAATATCTTATTCTGCAGCCCAGCCTAGTTTCAAACTTCTGACTATGGTCCTGCCTCAGCATCCCAAAGGCTAGGGCACATTTCATAGATTAATAAGCCAAGCCCAGAGCAAGTGAGCCCCAGGTCCCAGGTCGAGTGGCTAGAAAGAACAGAGCTGCTCCCACTGGGCTCTCCCTGGCTCACTTCTTACCGCCCACTAGAAGGAAGAAAGCAATACCCACCGTAAGAGCCAAGGCACATACTATGACCTAGCACCCCCACATTCACAAAGCTGTCCTGTAGACACACTCAGAGATAGACAAAACGACATGTGTGCAAGCTGGAGCAAAACCCAAACACCACAGGGGAAGACTGGTGATGTATATAGCACATCCTCACAGAGGAAGAGTGCACAGTAGTTAAAATCATTGACATGGACCGTTTCAGGGCATACTCTTAGAAGAGGGAGTTACAAAGCTCAGAATAATGTTCAAAATATATTAACTTTGTATAAGAAAGAATGGAAATTAGAATTTATTTTCATGTGTGTACAAGAGATTAAGAAGAATAGCTGTGTTTCCAATATAGAAACCAGAAAATGAGAACGAGGAACAGTCACAAGACCTGATACTGCTTTTCTTCTTTGGGGACACTTCAACCTATGTTAGAAACTCTTGAGCCAGGAGCCAAATTTTCATCTCCCCCAAAGCACAGCACAGCCTCCGTGATTCCTAATTAGTTCTGTCATTTGTTCACTTAACACGTTTTCTCTGAGAGGCATCAGGCTTCCTTTAACTAGGGACACCCGGGCTAGTTCAGCCCTGGTGAGAATCAGCAATGGGGCACAGGCCTCTGCACCTAGCAGAATGAGCATTCCAGATAAGTGAGGGCCCTGCTGCAAAGCCCTCCACGTTCCAGATAAGTGAGGGCCCTGCTGTAAAGCCCTCCGCATTCCAGATAAGTGAGGGCCCTGCTGTAAAGCCCTCCGCATTCCAGATAAGTGAGGGCCCTGCTGCAAAGCCCTCCGCATTCCAGATAAGTGAGGGCCCTGCTGCAAAGCCCTCCGCATTCCAGATAAGTGAGGGCCCTCCTACAATGTCCTCCTATGGAGGTCGGGTAAAGCCTAAAGACAATGAAATTACTTAACTGGGGCTTCTGACTTCAAGTTAACCAGATTTTCGCCATCAAGGTAAGACAAGGCTTTTGAAGGTGCAATTCACGGGCTTCCCTCTCTTCTCTCCAAGAGTAGGAAATTCTGCACTCACAAATAATCTCAGGCAGGAAACTCACCTCAGAAGTCAGGTTGAAGCCTAGAGATTAAAAGTGGAGGGTGAAGACCCAGCTAGGCTTGGATCCACCCTTCCACACCCAGGGAGGTGAGGAGGGGGAGAAGGGAAGGAGGAGTCGTCTGAGGTAAACACCGGGCCTAACAAATACTGAAGCCCTGGGTGAGAACCCGGTCAGGTGTTTGAATCCTGAAGGGCTGGTCAACATCAGGGTGTGGCCACACACGTGCTGAGCTCCTGTGTCTCCGAGTGGAGAATAAGGCAGGAATCTCTCCATAGAAGTTCAGCAGATAGAGTGAGAAACTTCAGGGGGATAAACCTGTGGTTTCAGCTGACCTAGAAGAGCCAGTATCTGGTCAAAAGGCATTTGCGGTTAAATTCTCACCTCCAGATGAATTCCCTTTGCACCCAGGGCAGATCTTCAGTAAGCTGAAAACGGGGAGTTAGGGAAAGGGGGTGGCATTCCCTCTCCTTCTCCCTGGTCTGGCTTTGTGCCTTTCATCTTTCTGATTTCTGAAATTAACCGCTCAAGAAGCCTTGCATTTCTGTGGTGTCTTGTCTAGGGATCCTTGAATTTGAACATCCCATGGAGTCCTCCAGAGGGCTTGATGAGAACTCCAGCACCCCCCAGACTTTCTGATTCAAGGGCTCAGATGTTGAGAATCTGTGCTTCTAAGAGGGTGCTTGGCGATGAAGACCGTGGTTAGGAGAAATGGTTGTGGCAGTGGGAATGACAGAGAAAAACTGTCAGGGTGATGTCGGGATGAGAGCAGTGATGGAGATGGTCTTGGGGATGAGGAGGGGAGGGGGATGGGGATACGGCAGAGGTGAGGTGGGTAGTGATATTATAGATGGGGATGATGTTACTGTAGTAGTGGTGGTGGTAATGGTTGTAAAACTGGTTGGTGGTAACGAGAGTGGTAATGCCATTGTAGTTTTGGCGACAACGGTGGCTATGGTGACAACCGTGGAGACAGGGTAGTGAGGGTACTGATGTTAGGTGCTGCTGCTGCTGTTGGTTGGAGCACTGTGTTTGAGAAGCTCTGTACAACTCTTCCGTCCTCTGGTTCCTTCCCATGGGAGGACAGTTGTGGGTGAGTCTGGATACTTCTCCTCTCGTTCCCGATTCTGCTGCCTGCCTGTCCTCTCTCCTCACTAAATTCACTACTCTGGTTCCTTCTTCATCCCTCGGTCTTCTTCTTTTGAAGCAAAAACTCTGAAAAGGCTGCTGCTTAGAAGTCCCTTGCTTCCTGTCCCTAAAATCTCGTCTATTCCTCTTGTCCCCCTTCTCATTGTCCCCAATACTTCTGAAGTTATCTGCCACCTTCATTACCCAGATCCCCTAGCCTGGTATTTAAGACGCATCCACATCTGCTCTCCTCCTGTTTTTCCGTTTCTGCCACACCTGACCCACGGTTTCGTGAGCAGCCTGCTCCCCCCTCGGGCTTTGTCCACGCTTGTCCTTCATCTCAGAATGATGTTTCTGCTCACTTGTGTGTCAAACAGATGCCCCCATACACTCTGAGCCAAGTGTGTGCCGTGAGCCAGAAACCAGGCCAAAGCCAAGCCCACATCCTTGAGGAACTCCTGCATAAAGGGGGGGGACAGTGCCTGTGGTCAGTGCAGCCCTTGGAGGAAAGAACTTCTAGAAAGGGCTGCTGCATTCCCCATAAAGTGGTGCCCTGTTTATCATAGCCTGTTGCGTAGCCACCCAGGTGGGAGCTTCACCCAATCCCTGTTCTGTTCTGACACAATCCACCTTGTGATGAATTATCATGCACTGATTCTCACAGGAAACACACGGTGCAGCAAACAGGGCCTGGGGTTGTCCCCAGTTTGGACCCATAAGAATTAATGGGGGGAGGGGGTCAGAATCCCACAGACTCTTGTCTAAGACCAGAATACAAATCCTAGTCCTGGCGGCATTTTTAATGTTGTAAGAAGTATTTCATATGAGTCTTTTTCTATCAAACACTGTAAAACTTGTGTTTAGGACAAGGAACTCAAATCTTTTTCTGTTTGTTTTGTTTTTAAGACAGGGTCTCACTCTCTAGTCCTGTTTGGCCTGGCGGACCTTGTACTCAAGAGATTCACTTGCCTGTTTCCTTAGTGTATACAGAGGCGTAGGGAGGGAGGAGCCTAGCGAATCTGGTCAGTTTCAGAGGCTTCTGAAACTTTTTGGTCTGTCTGCTTCCTGAGGGTCTTTTGTTTTCATATTTTGTTTGTTTGCGGTTTTTGTTTGTTTTTGTTTTTTTTTTAGTCAGGATTTCTATAGATGTAGCCCTGGCCATCCTGGAACTCTCTCTCTGTGTAGACCAGGCTGTCCTGGAACTTACTCTGTAAACCAGGCTTTCCTGAATTATCTTTTTATTGATTCTCATAGAAAACACACAGTAAACCAAACAGGACCTGGGTTTGTCCCCAGTTTGAAACCTTAAGAATTAATAAGGGGAGGGGATCAGAATTCCAGAGTCTTGTCCAGAACCCTTCAAATATCTTTCAATAAGAAGGGTAATGATAGCCAGGTGTGGTGGCGCATACCTTTAATCCCAGCACTCAGGAAGCAGAGGCAGGCGGATCTCTGAGTTCAAGACCCAAAATTCCCTAAGGAGACCAGGTTGGCCTCTGCCTACTCAGGGCTGGGATTAAAGGTTTATCTCCCTGCCTTCTAAGACAGTTAGGCTGATATTTTAATTCCCCCACCAGGTAAAAAAGTTTTATTTACACGAAGACTCTGCTACAATTTCAGATGAAAGCGAGTTAGTCCCTCCCCATTTCATCTCCTCTGCACTCTTTCAAACTCAGTCTCTGAAGAGCTGAGACCAGAGTCCAGCCCATGGGGGAAGACACAGATGGTCACCACAGCATTAGAATAAAAATCACATGCACTTCCTGGCTTGGGGTTCTTGCTCTTCCAAGCACACCCTCTTGATCACGAGTAAAGTCTTGTCTCGTTGAGGCATTTCTGTTGGAGTGATGATCAAGTTATGCCCCTGGGCTTATTTCTAACAATGTGTGTGGGTGTTTTGCCTGCATGTATGCCTACAAACCCTATGTGTGCAGTGTCCAGAGGCCAAAAGAGGGCGTCAGATCCTCTGGCACTGGTGTTATAGATGGTTGTGAGCATCCATGTGGGTGATGGGAATCAAGACTAAGTCCTCTCTAGAAGAGAGCAGTCAGTGCTCTCAGCCACTGAGCTATCTCTTCACCACCACCCCCCATATGACTTTTTAAAATATTTGAAAGAGCCTTACTGAGCCATAGGAGTTCCTCCTACATTCTTCATACATGGCCGTGTATGTATGTGTGTGTGTGTAAGCGTGCGCGCTTCTCCCCCTCATTGCCCTCTTTTCAAATGTCCCCGTTCAGTATTCAGACCTCCCACTCCGTTCCTAGACTATCTCAGTGACTGCCAGTTCCGTTCTTAGCAATCCAGCATCCTACCCAAGTGCACAGCAGTCACCCTATCCAGTTTGCTGGCGCCAAATGCCCTCACGCATGCTCCTTCCTCCATCTCCCTACAGCTGCGTGAAGACTAACCCTACGTCCAGCCCTTCTGGGTTTGCGATTGCAATCAACTTCAGCTCCTCCTGGAACCTCTGTCTCCTGACACAGAAGCTTCCCTACAGGGTAGCCATGAGAGATGACTGAACAGTTGACAGAGCTTCGTGATCCAGAATCTTTGTCCTCCCTAGAAATCCTGGCCGCAAAGCCACGCTCACTGGACCATAGGGGACCTCCCCGACACCAGCGCTGTCTCTCTGAGCTCCAAGTGAATATGTGTTTATTTGCAATCTAGCATTGCTAAAGCTCTCACTGATCTAGGGCCCTTGCCCTCTTTCCTCGCCTATTCACTCAAAAGCAAGCCAACTCTTTCTCCAGAAGCAGAAGTTTGATTGCACCTCTTCTAGTCTTAGGAAAGCTGTTTATGGTTAGCTCCATTTTCAGATGGGGAAACTGAGGTTCGGGCTAATAGCCTGCAGTGATGAAAAGTTGTAAGACTGGAAAACGATGGTCATTGTTCAATGCTGTGCTGTCGCCGAATTGTATAGAGTTAAAATGGTGGGTTTCGTGTTGATTATGTATTTTACAAGAAAAAAAAAGCAATAAGGAGTTAAAGGCCTGTAAGTCCTCATACCGTGAGCCTTCTTCCTCTCCATCCAGTGAACTCCAGGTAGTTTGGCCTTTGTGGTTTCTTACCTTTGTGACCCTAGGAGGGCCAGTCAGCTGTAGATGGCCCCTGCCCAGGGAACATAGGCAAATGAAGTTTGCGGAGGTGAAGGTGCACCCTGGCTGATGGGTCAGCCACCTGTGTGATATTAGAATCAAAGACATTGGCCTGCAGACCTTCATTGGAGTCTCTGCTCTCTGGTGGACAAGTGCAGCCCAGCTAAAATCTAATTTCCAGCCATAAGGCCCCTGAGGCTGCTGTGCAGTTTACTAGAGGGCTATGCTCAGAGCATTGCCCCCCTCCACTTCCATCCCTGACTCCAGGAGCTTCTCTTTCAACACGGTGCCGCCGAGAGAGTCATCTAGACACTTGCTGATGAAAATGTATAAACAATAATATCCACGGGTACCAAACCCTCCTCTCTTCCTAGTACACTGTGTGAACGCCTGCAGTTCCAAGTCCAGAGGGCAGAGGGCAGTAAAGAGTAAACTGAGATCACAGAATGGGGGGGGGGGCTCAAAGGAGAGGTGACTTTCGCTCTGAGCAGTGTGGAGGAGGAACCTTCTAGAAGGAAGGAATGACATTGGGTCAGGCCACTCCTCACTATTCATCTGGTCCTTTGATGTCACGGGGAACCCCTAACTCTCCCATCCTTCTCGAGTGGCCTGTCAGAGACGCATATGATGATGGTCCCTCTCACACAAGGTCCTTACTCACTCCCTGAGACTGCCCACTTGCATTCCAAATCCTACTGACTGGTTTCGTTCAGAATTCTCCTTTTTCTTCCTAAGGACTTTTGAGCTAAGCTTTGAGCTGTCACAGTCAGGGCCTTGGGGTGACACCCCTCATCACAGCTCTTCCAGTGAGCTCCTTCAACTGAGAGCTGTTTCATTACTGGACTTCTTTAAATCAATGTGGTGGGCTAACGGGTGTGCTCCCTCTCTGCCACCCCCGCAGCCCTCTGGTATCACCATCTTCTCGGTCTCCCGTAGGAGAGAGACCCAGGGAACATTTTGCCACCACCACCTCAGTCCCAACAGCTCCGGGGTCCTGGATCTGAGGCAGCTGTTGAAGGACTTTTCCTCAGGTTCAGAGCAGAGAAAGAGCCTTCGTGTGGCCGAGGGGACCTGGTAGCCACACGCGGATAATTTGGTCACTTGCTCCCCGCCATGCTGGAAGTGCTCAGGCGAGTTGAGCTGCCTCCTTTTGGCAGCAGAAGCGGAAGACAATTCCTATGGGCTGCTGTGCCCTCCCTCCTCCCGGGCAGGGTACCCAAACCCCCACACAGGTTTCATGTCCCTGTCCCCTTGCACCACGACACCAGCAGCAGGCCGGTACAGCCCTGCGCGAGGCACTCCAGGAATGGCGGGAACTGTGCAGCTGGTGCATTCAGCTCCCGCCTGCTCTTGGAAGAGTCCTCGGAGGCTCCCGCCTTGGTGACGAATGGGTGGCCCCAGCCCGGGTGTTGGGGTGGGGAGGTAGAGGCTGGAGGACACGCCAGGGTCGTCGACAGAAGAGTTTCTTACCGTGACTGGCTGCGAGTCTCTGGGGGCATCTGGGGGCCGCCGCAGGAGACACTTGGTGCAGTTGAGGAAGGCTTCCTGGAGGCTGGGCTTGGACGGAGGGTGGGTGGGATTTCCGCGCCCGAAAGGGGGTGGGAGCCGCACCTCAGGAACATGGCAGCCATTTGAAGACCCGCCCTGCTGTGGTGGATGAAACTGGAGCAGGAAGTGGTGCCCTGATCTCCACAAACAAAAGAGTAGGCTGATGATTCCCACCTACCCTTCTGGTTCAGGCCTTTGTGGGGAGCCCCCAGGAGGCCTGGAAGGTGCCCCACCTGTGGGGAGCCACCTCATCTGTAGTGTGTGGGACTAAAGGAAGCAGGGAACTTCCCAACCCTGTGGCTGCATGCTTCTCCCCGAAAAGGCCAAAACCGGCTCATCTCCCGTTGTCCGATTCTTGACTAAGCGGAAGGGGTTGGCAGACATTCTGAAATAGAACGGAATGCTCTCCTCAGTTCCCCGGTCAGGCCAGACAACAACAGACAAAAGTGGAGAGAATTCATTGTTTTCTCAGAAGCCCTTCTCAGACTCATTGTGCCCAGGTGTTTTCTGAGGGTGACAAGTTTGGGCAGGAGGGCACCCTGTACCCCCGAGACAGATGTTCTGATCCAGACTGAAGGGAAAAGATTGTAACAGACGTCCAGCTGGGCCTAGAGCTCCAGATGAGAAATGTTACAGCGTCAGAAGAGTCTCTGGGGCTGAGGCTCCTGCGGTCATTGGAAGGCATCACCCAGACTAGGGCAGATGTGGCTGGGGTACCTTCCTAGTGGTAGCTGATGGAGCAGGGCAGGGACAAGAGAGATCTTGACTAGGTACTGTGGGCAAGGCTTATTGCTGGGAAATTTAACACTCTAGAGAAACTACTGTGTGTGACATATAAACTAGCCCGGGGAATTCCACAGCTTTATCTCTATCTGAAAGCAAGCTGGCTAAGGACCGGATTGGGTTATCCTCTCCTGAGCTGGGCCTTGGACCATAAGAGGTCAATAAGACTTAGTCTCTATCCTGACCAGCTGCCCTGTTTCATAGATCTATCCTGGCCAGTTTTATGACAACTTGGCACAAGCTAGAGTCATCTGAGAGGAGGGAGCCTCAACTGAGAAAATGCTTCCATATGGCCAGGCTGTAGGCAAGCCTGTATGGCATTTTCTTAATTAGTGATTGATGGGGGAGAACCAAGTCTGTTGTGGGTGGGGCCACTCCTGGGGTGGTGGTCCTGAGTCCTATAAGAAAGCAGATGGAGCAAGCCAGTAAGCAGCACCCCTCCATGGCTTCTGCATCAGCTCCCGTCTCTGGGGTCCTGCCCTGTTTGAGTTCCTGTCCCGACTTCCCTCAGTGATAGGCTGTGACCCGCAAGTGTAAATGGAATAAGTCCTTTCCTTCCCCAAATTGTTTTTGGTCATAGTGTTTCATCACGGCAATAGTAACCATAGCTAAGATGAGATCTCAACACAGAAAAACTCTGAAGATATCATGGGGAAGGTCACAGAATCGAGAAAGGGCTGCTGGGGAAAGGAGGTCTCGCTTTTAACAAAGACACCCCCAGGTATCTGGAATAAACACCTGGTCAGTGTCCGGGCTGAGTGGGCCCTAAGAAGCTTCCATTTGTTTTATGGGAGACTTCTTGTCCCATGCCCCTACCCCCCCACCCTTCGACATACAGGACATTCTACCAGCCACCACAGAAAATGGTGTATCATCCACTTAGGACCCTGCATGGCCTCAGGAAGATGAGATGCCTGTCCCTGTCAGCCCCTGACCCCCTGAGAGTCAGCTCTGCACACAGGTCAAACTACTGTGATGGGAGAGAACTCCCAAGAAGGTTTGAGAGGGCAAGGGGGAAGGTCTGTAAAGGAGGAGGAAGGATAGAGGTGGAGAGGTGATACTCACAGAGAAAGAAGGTGGGGGAAGGTGAGGCACATGAGGGTGGCCTGAGCATCAGGACCCTGTAACCTCATGAGAGTCCAGAAGACAACATCTCCAGTTATCTGGTCTCTTCAGAAGGGTTTGTTTGCCTCTTGGGGGATGCTCAGCTACGGATGGGGCAGATGCAGTCTGCTCTCATTAGTGAGCCCTATACGCTTGCTCATTGCTCCCAGGTGCCCTAAAGCCTGGGTCTATTTGATATTTGATTCCAAGATCCTAAATCCAAGTGTCTGTTTCAGTGAAGTGCGGGTGATGACCCTGTCAAGCCTCCATCACGGAGCACTGAAGCACTCAAACAAAGGGCAGACGAGAAAAGCACATCTCTCTTCCCCTACAGAGCCTGGCTGCAAACTCTGGACAGTCGCCCTGCATTGGTACCCTCTAAGGATTCTGCTTTCTCATGGGAAGTCTCCCGGACACATTTACTCTCCATGTGACCTTGGCAGCTCATCCCTGGGCCCTCTGCTCTATCAGGCAGGTGTGTGCCCTACAGCATGTGGTCTAAACTTTCCTGGATATGAGATGATAGGCCACTGGGCCACAGGTATATATTCAAGTTTGAGCTATTTAGGAGAACCTGGCCAGGATTATACATGTGGGAGGAGTGGGGTCATCCCTAAGATCTGCCTCATAGGTACAGTTTTGTGTTTCTCTAGGGGTCATATCACTTACACAAGCTGTAACACTGCTCCCACCAACCCCATCTTCACCTAGATCCTGGGGGTAAGGAAGGGATGAAAGAAGGGTGCGGGGCAGAAGGCCACTGGGCAGCAGAGCCCCAGGGGGAAAAGAGGAGGATGCCTCTGCTGGAAGTGTCCCCTCTGTCCCCTCCTGTGGCCATGTGTGCAAGCATGTTCTGGGCAGGTCCTCCGTCTGTGAGGGTGTTCCGGTTGTTTGTGCACGGGTGTGAGAACAGACTGTGCAGATAGGTGACTATAGGTGAGACAAAAAGCACACCGGACATACCTTCCCTGTTAGCCATGTGTATTTTGTTCCCAGACCTACCCATGGAGATGTTCAAGTGTGAGCCTTCTATGCATGCATTTGAACGTGCTGGAAGCTTCCCCATGGTCAGAACTCTCCCTTTAGATGAGCAGGCAAGGTAACCTACTTGGGGCAGAGGAAGCTAGGGAGACGTACTGCTGCCCTTGGTGGCTCTGGATTGAGGCAGAGAGCGAGCCTTGTACCTAAAGCACACCCACTGCGTCTGCTCAGAATTGCAGAGGACCATTCTCTACACAGTAGGAAGCTAGTCCAGCAAGGCACAAGAGACATTTCCCAGGACCCCCAGTTTTCTCCAGCTGCTGGCAGGAACAGAAATCCAGAGGACAATCCTGGCTGGAGCCTCCAGAACTCTTCACAGTTGTATTTGGCATCATCCCAGGCAGGGGTCGCATGTGGACTCACAAGCCTGCTCCATTCTACAGCGACTGCAACACCAGGCTGTCTTTCTCCAGTATGCCATTTTGTCCCAAGGGCTCTCTACTTCATTTAAATAGGCTACCAAAGACACATGCCATACAATTTCTTAATGCTGGTTATCCTGATTTGAGTGAAAATGAGCCCCATTGGTTGGTATATTTGTAAGCTCAGTCTACAGTTGGTGAACTGTTTGAGAAAGATTAGCTGTGCCCTTGTTATATCAGATGTGACACTGGGGTTGGGCTTTGAGGTTTCAAAGGCTCATTCCAAGTCCAGTGTCTCTCCGTCTGCAATCAGGATATAATCCCCCAAAGCATTACTGAAATTATTTGTCCAGCACCATACCTGCACGCATGCACGCTGCCACTCCCCGCCATAATGTACTAACACAGTAAAACTGTTAGCAAGGATTCTTTAAATGCTAAAGAGAAAATAAAGAATACGTTACCTTCGTCGTGGTGTCTCCTCACAGCAATAGGACAGTAACTAAGACACTGAGTAGAACATGAATTCCCTTGGAAAGATCCACACCCAAACAAGAGACCCTGCTATGAATGCTGTCTGCCCCACTGACTACACAAAGATGTTTTCATGATGTTATACTTACCAACATGAATTTTTTTTTCTTTACACCAATGAGAACAGAGGCTTGGTCTGAAACATTCGTTGCCTAAGACATGAGCTGTTGCATCTCAACTCAGACTTTCAGCTCTCCCCAGAGTAATTTTACAAAGTATATTTTTGTTTATTTTTCAAGACAGGATTTCTCTGTGTAGCCCTGGCCATCCTACAACTCGCTCGTAGACCAGGCTGGCCTTGAACTCACAGAGATCTGCCTGTTACTGCCTCAGCCGTCCAAGTGCTGGAACTAAAGGTGTATGCTATCACCACCCGGTGCAAAGTACATCAAACGCCCATTCCAGTGTGCAGTGTAAGCAAGAAATACTAGGACTAAGTTTCCTCAAAAAATCTCACAAGATCATAGAAAGTCAGGTATTGCTTTTTCCACTGTTCTCTTCCCTGTAGAAAACTGCTCCCAAGAGTCCAAAACCTGCTAAGCTACTTCAGCTTAGTGAAGGTCAGGTCTGCACTGCTATCTAAAATTGTCTGCACTGTTTTACCTAAGTCTTATACTCCTTAAGAGTATTTTGGATGTCATCTTTATTTTCTTATAATCCTATGTCCAAATTAAGGAGTAAGTATCCCACTAGAACCTGATTTTCCTCAAACCCTTTGATATTTAAACCCAGGTAATCCCTCGGGCTAACCATAGTCTCAGAAAAAAAAATTGATATATTCTCTCACATTATAGAAAACAGGCTCAACAACTTTTAAATTTGCTAGATTTATTTGTAAAGACGAATTGCACACTTCAAACAAGCAAAATGCTTAATTTCACTATAGGTATTTCAGTTTTTAAAATTTAATTATTTTTATGCATGCACAGAGACCAGAGAACAACTTGTGTGCGTGAGTTCTGTTCTTCCCACCACATGGGTTCTGGAGATTGAAACTTGGGTCGGGCTTGGCCCTCAGCTGCTGAGTCATCTCTCTAGCTGTTACACAACTTTAAGATGAAGACATTTTGCAAAGAACTACTGTATGGAAGAAAAACACTGACATCCTGCATTGCCTAAAGTTTGTCTGTGTTCACAGAATTGATAGCTTTCATGTTGCTGGGTCTCCATTTTATCCTGCTTACTGCTGAACTAAAGACAAACAACCACCAAAAATCCCCATATGGGCATAGGGGAATATGAATCAAGTAAATGGGTTACTGCTTGTTTGATCTCTCCCAGTTTCTAGCATAAGAGCTTCTAAAACCTTTGGTTTTCTAGTTGGACTGAGGGGCCATCTTCTGTTACTCCTAAGGTAAGTCTCTTGAAGTCATCGCTTTATGCTAAGCTGACTTATTACGAGACTTCTAGCTAGCTCCAGAACTGGGGCTAGTTGTCAAAGGAGCCGACCATGTGCTAAGAGAGTTGGAACTTTCAGCAACCTCTGTTGACTTCTGAAAGGGAAAACTTCCTAACAGTCAAGGACTTCATCAATCACGAGTACATACTGGAATCGCCATAAAAGCCCTAACAATGGGGCCAGCGGGATGAGGCACTCCCAACTCCATGTGGGTGAAAGCACCTGCACGTAAGAACCCTGTGGATCTTGCTCTAAGTATCTCTTCCTGTGGTAGTTCATGTGACGTTCACGTACTCTGTAAACGGTAACTGTAAATTGTCTCTAGGTTCTGTGAGCTACTACAGCAAATTGTGAACCTGGCAGTGTTCAATTTGTAACCAAGTCAGAAATGTAGGACTCATCACCAGTGTCTGAAGATGCAGGAGGGAGTGAGAGGCAGTCCTCTCAGACTGAGCTCATTTCACCAGTAGGAGGTGTATTACGAGTAGTGTGTGAACTGATATAAATTGGAGGCCATCTAGTTGGTGTCTGCAGGCAACCAAACTGGTGTGGAAACCCGGATATTTGGTAGTAAGGGTGTTTTGAGTAGAAAAACATTTCCTTTGCTACCCATTAACAGTTGACAACATGGAGAAATACTGTTTCTTGTCTTCTTGGCAGCTTAAGTGATCTTATTAATGGCTTAGATTTTTTTAATGAGTAAGAGACTTCAAAGAGTACCATGAGAATTCCAACATTTTCATGGAACCCAAGACCACAGAGTTGAAATTCAAAGCAGATACATACCTTCAGGACATAGCCATGTTTATAGAGTTCAGACACTACAAAACTGGAACTCTAACATGCTATTTTGTTAAATATATTTTATGCTTGTGTGGCAGGCATCTATAGCAAATATAGCATCTATAATCACTGAGGGCTGCATAGTATTGGGGGGATATGCATATCATATGCTCAATGTGACATGCAAAAAAATGTCTTCACTAATTTTTACTCCTTGGGGTACTACTAAAGCAGAGCACTTCTTTAGAACATGATTTTGAAGCACAACCTATTAATGCCACTGTTGATTTTTGTTATCTTTTGTTAAAAGCTGAATACTAGATAGTACACTTTATATCACAAATTTTACAAGGCGTTCCCAGTTTTGTGAGTATGCTTTACATTTCAAGCTTATTTGGAATTATTTACAACAAAACACATGGGTTTATTTTTGAATGGGTCATTTGCCAACTTTTTTTTTTTGATCGTTCATCTCTACTTTGGATCTGATTCTTTTAGAAATATTTTTTATTTATATTTTACGTATGAGTGCTCTGCATGTATGCCTGCACGCCAGAAGAGAGCATCAGATCCTACTATAGATGGTTGTGAGCCACCATGTGGTTGCTGGGGATTGAACTAGGACCTTTGGAAGAGCAGCCAGTGCTCTTAACTGCTGACCCATCTCTCCAGTCCCTGAATCTAGTATTTTTTTAAGACTTCTATCAAACAATTTTTAAAAAATGTTTACCCCACCCTTTTTAAGGGAAGTGTTATGCACTCTTATTGTCAAGAGCAGAAATAAATTAATTTCTCTCCACCCCTTTTGCCTGTTTTCTTTGGTTTCCCTCAGTGGAGAATAATTTCCTCTAGTCCTACAAAATAATTATTCCTAGAAATCTACGTTTCCTAATGCTGTTGGATAGGATGTTTTCTTTTATTGTATTTCCTGACTGGTTACTGATATAAAACTAAGTCATTTTAGATATAACTTTCAGCTGCTCATATAAATCTTGATTAAAAATAGAGTAAAACAGAAAAAGTTTCCAAATGAAGACTGTCATATTCATCCCCTCTGATGGTTTCATTCCAAGTAATAACTGATGAGCCATGATCACTTCCTACTAAACACGGGAGTGTTTTGTTTGGTTGGTTGGTGCTGTTTTCTTCATCTATTAGGATTTTTCTTCACTATGAACATCTTGATGCTGACTAAGTTGGAAACTAAACCTGAAAGTTTTCCCACATATATTACACACATAAGGCTTCTTCCAAGTATGCACAGTCTGGTGTATGATGCAGTCAGAACTAAGGCTGAAGCCTTTGCCACACTCGACACATCGGAAAGGCTTTTCCCCAGTATGGCTCCTCTGGTGTCTAATTAAGTGAGCGTTGACATGGAAGGCTTTCCCACACTCACTGCACTGGAAGGGTTTCTCTCCAGTGTGGATTCTCTGGTGCACAATATAGTCAGAACTGCAGCTGAACGCCTTCTCGCATTCCATGCACTTGAAAGGTTTCTCCCTGGTATGTATTTGTTGATGCCTAGTTAACTTGGCATTGATACTGAAAGCTTTGCCACATTCCTTACACTGATATGGCTTTTCTCCAGTATGGGTTCGCTGATGATCAAGCAGGTTTCTTTTAGAAGTAAAGCACTTCCCACATTCATTACACTCAAAAGGTTTCTCCCCTGTGTGAGTTCGCCGATGCTGCATGAGTTTTGCATTAACGTTGAAGGCCTTTCCGCATTCACTGCACTTATATGGCTTCTCCCCAGTATGGATTCTCAGATGCTGCCGAAGCTGGGAGTTACACCGAAAGGACTTCCCACACTCATTACATTCATAAGGTCTCTCGCCTGTGTGGATTCTCTGGTGCTGGATTAACTTCCCTTTAGCACTAAAAGTCTTCCCACATTCGCTGCACTCATAGGGTTTCTCACCTGTGTGGACTCTCTGATGCTGAATGAGTTTTGCGTTTTTAGTGAAGCCTTTTCCACACTCACTGCAGCGATGTGGTTTTTCTCCAGTGTGTATACTCTGATGCTGCCTAAGCTGGGTGCTGCACCTGAAGCCTTTCCCACACACATTACACTCATAAGGCTTCTCTCCAGTATGAATCCTTTGATGCTGAATTAACTTTGCATTAACATTGAAAGCTTTCCCACAGTCGCTACACTCGTAAGGCTTCTCCCCAGTGTGGGTTCTCTGGTGTGTGATGTATGCAGAACTACAGCCGAAGCCAGTTCCACACTCCTGGCACTGATAGGGCTTCTCTCCTGTATGTATCCTCTGGTGTCTAACTAGGCTTCCGTTAACACTGAAGGCTTTTCCACACACCTTACACTGATAAGGCTTTTCTCCACTGTGGATTGTCTGGTGTGTGATATAGTGTGAACTATAGCTGAAGCATTTCCCACACTCCACACACTTGAAAGGTTTCTCTCCATTATGAAGTCTTTGATGCCAAACAAATTTTGCTTTAACAATGAAGCCTTTGCCACATTCTGTACACTGGTAAGGCTTCTCCACAGTGCTGCTTTCTGGATACTCACTAACTTGAGAGCTACCTTGAGAGGTTTCTGCTAATTCTTCGGAATTCAAAGATCTTTCCTCTGTAGGAATTTCTCCATTCTTAATAAGTTTGTTATCAGAATATTGTTCTCCAGTGGAGTTGGTATGATTCTGGGGCACATCTGGAGTCTGGCTACAGAAATACCCTCCCCTGGAGCTGGTCTTAACTCTTCCCTCAGTGGCACTGATATTCTCTGTCACACTACCCCTTAACTGGACTTCCTGTCGCTGGTCTACAACAGAAGTTTTGGAAAGGTTTGTTTTCTGGGAAAAGTCCTTCTGAAGCTCAAATGCTGTATTCTTTTTTTCTTCAGATACTTCTTCTGTCAAATTATTGCCAGTCTGGACAGCAGTATAGTCTACCAAAAGAAGTAGAAAAATAAAAGATGTCATATAGAATTGTGCTTGAAGAAAATACAAAGTTATTTATTATATACGTAGGGTCTCACTATGTTGTCGGGCTGGCTTTGAACTATTGATTGTGCTGCATCCACTTCACAGGTACTAGAATTACATGTGAACATCACCATGCCCTGCTGAGGCGGTCCTTTAAAAATCACTGGACTAAGTCAAATAGCCTAAGGTTCATCCAGAAGGTATAACTGTCATGGATAAAAGAAGGAAATAGATCCAGATTGTAGAGCATGAAAAAAAATGCCCAGATATGTAGAGCAGGAAAAATAATTTAAAATAAAATAAAAATTATAAACAAAAGAGATTCCGATTGTGTAATGAAAATGAGAAGAGTGGACAAGAACATGTATCTCTGTCGGGAAACTTTGGGAAAAGTTCAGCTACATGAGACCATGTCAATCGAAAATCATCCCCAGCTATATTCTCCTAAGGCAAGGCCACTACAAAAGGCAACATCAATAGCAGAAAGGTTAAAAGTGATAGCAAAGGAAGAAAATTCTAGGTCTTGTCTATCAGACAGTATTTTTCCATTGTCTCATGCTTTTCTATATTCTAGAGTTCCTTCTTGGTTGTCCCTATGAACCAAGTTCCTTATTAATAAAAGCAAAATAATCACTGAAGAAAAGGCAGAGGACCTAAATGATGTACCACAGGAAGACCAGGTTTGACAGGCATCAACAGAGAAGGTGCAAGAGCTACGTTTTCTCTGCAGAACTTCACTCGAGCCTGTTCGTTCATGTTTATCTCTGCTTCAGAAAAACTCTAAGACCTACTTGACATCTCCTCCCATCTCTTCTAAAATTCGGCTACACAAACTTTTCCTTCCATCAATCCAAAAACATTCTTTTGTATATAACCACAATTTTTACAATAATGACCTCTCCATTTCTCCCCCACCCAAAAGTTTCCTTTATTTTTTCATTTCTCATTTTTTCCAAACACATAAAATAATGTCCTTCCATCTTCTGTAGCCAGGCAGGGATCCCAGCGGTAGGACTGGGACACCAACCCAGCCACAAAACCTTCTACCCACACCTGTCCTGCCTGCAAGATGTGCTGAAGCAATGATGTCTCAGAATTTAGGGAGTGGACAGTCAAAGACTGGTCTAACTTGAGGCCCAAGCCAAGAGAGGGAGCCCACACCCAACAAGATGGCCAGGAACTGGAAGCTGGATGGCTCAGACACCTGGAGAGAACCACACAAAACTGCCCTACCCCCAGCTCAGAGACCTGGAGAGAACCAAACACTACTGTACTCCCCCAAAAGTCAATGAAATGATTCCTAATGATATTCTGGAACCCCAAGGAAGAGGAGGAGGACGGGTTGTAGAAGCCAGAGGGATCAAGGACACCAGCAGAGCATAGCCCACAGAATCAACTAAGCAGGGCTCGTAGTTGTGGTTTTTGTGGGACTCCTAACAGTGGTGGTAGGGGTGTCTCTGACTCTTTTGTCTGCGTTTGGGACTCTTTCCTCCTGTGTTGCCTCATCTAGCCTTCATATAAGGGTTTGTGTCTAGTTGTATTGCATCTTGTTATGCCATGTTCGCCTGCCTGCTCTTTTCTGAAGAGAAATGGAGGAGCATTGGATCTGGGGTAGAGAGGGGGTTGGAGGAGAGAGGAGTGGAGGGAGGGAAGGCTGTGGTCAGGATGTATCATATGAGATAAGAGTAAATAAAAATAAATAAATTATATCCTTGCCGTAATACTTCATTATAATTATTCTCAACAACACAAAAAACCTGAGTTCCTTTAGAAAGAACTTTAAAACAAAATGAGCCTTTTCAAAATTAAAAACATGTGTATCTGTTGCTACAGATCAAAGTTTGTTGTTGTCCATCCCTAGCATCCACCTGTAAAATCCCTAACTTCAAACAAGTGATTGTTATTAGGAGGGAGCGCCTTCCGCAGAGCCCTCAGATGGGGCCGCTGTGCTGGAGGAGACCTGGTGAATTTCTCCTCCGTCCACCATGTGAAGACACAGCAAGAACAGGCAGATATCTATTAATTAGGAAACAAGTCTTTGTTAGACAGAATCTGCCTGCACCTTGATCTTCTTATATGTCCAACTCCTAAATTAGAAGAATGGATTCATGTTTTTATAAACTGCCCACAGTATTCTGCTATAGCAGCCCAAGCTAAGCCACACAGAAGACACACATTACGTTGTTTATAGATCACCCAATCTATGGTGTTCTGTTCCAATAGTTCAATCCGACAAAGACACCTGTAGTACTAGAAACTTAAAAATTCAGTTAAAGACTGCAAAAATCTAATAGCTAAATTACTAAATACTCTTTCTGCCTGCAGAAGTACCTCAACTTAGTAACGCTCTCTATCCTGAAAACTGAGATTGTTCCCACGGCCGTGATACTCAAGTACATCAAGGTATCTATGAGTATAGTCTGACTACTTTTCAAGTCTACCTCTAGAAAACAATATCCAGGTTATCAAGTGCCAACTTCTCTTCTATAAAGACTCCCAATTCACACTGAATCCACTCCAGCTCCAAATGTCATATCCCTGTTTCACTTCCTCACTGACATTGCTAGAACTAGGTTCCCTGACAGGTGAGTCATCTCTCACTATTATGACTTTCCCACTGTGAAGAGCAAACCCAGTGCCTCAAGCATTCTAAGAATGCTCTGCTGCACTGCGTTCCCAACCTTCTTTCATTATTGTGATGTGTTTGTCTTTGGTTTCTACTGAGGACAAATGCTTTTTAAATGAACAATTTGTACCATTTTTCTTTTTTCTTTTGGTTTTTGTTTGGTTGATTGGTTTGGTTTTTTGTTCTTTTTTTTCTTTGTTTTTCAAGACAGGGTTTCTTTGTGTAGCCCTGAATGTTCTGGAACTTGCTCTGTAGACCAGGCTGGCCTTGAACTAAGAGATCTGCCTCCTAGTTCTGGGATTAAAGATGTGTGTCATCACTGCCCAGCTACATCTGTACATTTTATGTAGATCAACAACTCATTATTCGTTCTTTTCCAACTTTTATTAGTGACCTTTCAAGTGCTACAGTATGGCAGATATTAGTATCCAGTGATTATTTTATCTTTACCAATATACCTTCAATTTAATTTTTTGAAGTACTGATTTGCCCACCAAAATCGCATTTTCCAGCTTCGCTTGCAGAAAAGATCTAAGGTCCAGCAAGTTAAGACTTCTACAAGAATCACTGGGTTGATATGAGAAAAGCTTTGATTTGTGTTTTAAAGTTTAGCCCCCAGCAGAGTCTTCACCCTCCATCTTCTCCCTCTGCCCACCCAGAAACTGTCTCGATGTATAGATAATTATAATTTAACTAAGCTAGACCCTTGATATCTGTTACCACGTTTAGTCCTGAGCCACTGAGTGGCAGACACCACTGCCCTCTTTCACTATCACATTTTCAGAGATGAGGTCACTAGACTGTAGCGACGTCAAACAACCGACCTGCTCAGCCATGGAACTAGAAAGAAAGTTTCCTCACAAACACAGGTGGGATGAGACCTCAGGAAAAGCTCATAGCCACTTCTGCCTCTTTGTAAAACGCTGCAAAGGCTACATCCTTCACTTTTAGTGCTAGATCCCTGTCCCCATCACCAAATCCATAGTCTTGTTTGAAAATGGTGAGGTCAGAGGTAGAATATGGCAACTGAGAAAAAAATGCATTGCCATAATGGATAATGTGGCACACATATATGTTGTTGGGCAATCTGTGCCTTGCTTACCAGTCCAGAGGCCCTGGGAGTCTGCTCCAGTGGCCAGCTGGGACAGGTTCTCCAGTTCCTTTTCCTCTTCTAGCTGTGAGATCACAGCAGGTTTGAATAGTAGAAATCCTGATTTGGGGGTGAAAAAAAACAGAAGAGACATGAAAATTCTCCCATAGGTGCATCCCTAATGTCTCCTGAGATGCCTGAGCAAAGGGGAGGAAGGTGAGATCTCTCAGAAGGGAGGGGGTAGGGGCGAGAAGGGTCAGACTGTGAGCCAGGATCCACATGCAGAGAAAACTGAGAGTCTGCCCAAAGGGGATACCCCTTCTTGATCTTGGCCTTGAGATTCTTTGAAAAGACTCAAGATAAGCAAGGCCAGGGCAATCTGAGGAGGCCTCTGCAGAACAGCAGTTTCTAGTTTTCACAGCATGTCCAGGCACAGGTTCTTTACAGCAATTCAAAAGCATGCACTGGTCTCAGCAAAGTCCCGTAATGGCTTGGGATTTGCTCTTCCAGCAGGTTATACATAAGGAGATTAGGAAAAGCCCACTCATAAAGGATGACCAGGTCCCCACCTGCCACCTGAGGAAGAAAAGAGCCAGGAATCCCAAAATGGCAGTCTGGGTCCCAGAGAGAGAGGCCTTACCCATGGAGGCCAAGTTCCTATAGTTCTCCAGCATCACATCCCTGTAGAGCGCCCTCTGTTGAGGGGACAGACCATCCCATTCAGTCCGGGTGAAGTACACAGCCACATCCTCAAAGGTCACCAACTTCTGAAACAACAGGTTCTTGCTGCCCTAGGGCCATGGCTCAGGCCCTAAGTGAGGGGCAGAGGGCAAAATAAGGGCTTGGGGAGGGGGCTTGTGAAGAGAATAAAATTAGTAACAAAGGAAAGTGGAAGGGAAACACCAGGAAGTAAACTAGGGAATATCCGCCTTCTCTTACAGCAGAGAAACCGCATGCCGTTTTCACACGGGGCTGAAAGAAAAAGAATTCCCATGAGCAAATTCCACCACAGCAATGCTGCTCTCAGGCCGCTCCCTCTCTGGCAGGAGCTGCAGTGCTGCTCTCAGGCCGCCCCCTCTCTGGCAGGCTGCTGGAGGCAGCTGCAGCTCCCACTGCTCCCCTGCGAGGTCCTGGCTCCCCTGTGGCTTACCTCAAGCCCCAACCCCACTCATTATCCTCATCCTCATATGGTAAAGCAGATGTCCCCTGCCCAACAAAGGGCTTCTATCCCATTTGCCACCTGACTCCCAGGAGAGACAACCCCCAGCCAAGGGCCCCCAGGTCCCCTGCCTTTTTCTTCCTTGTTCCCACTTTCCAGCATCTTCCCTATCCTTCCCATTCACCTGCAACTGTTCTTCTTCCACCCCAGCTATTAATTACCCCAAACCTCTGCAACTCCCCCATGCATATTCATGCACAGAGCACCACGTGGTGGTTTCCATGGCCTCTGCCAGGGTGCGCACGCGCAGTGACTCCCATCTGCTAGGTTTACTTTCCTGCACTCTTCCTTGGTCGCTGCCCCAGTCTCTGCCACTTGCCTGTCCACCTTTCCCACAAGATCCAGTCTGGCATGCAGAAGCAGGTTTTATTCCAAGTCTCACCAGCATTCTTCTCAGTTCTCAATCTGAACTGCCCAGAGGAAGGGATGAGGGGCCCACAGCTCACCTGGGGCCAAACTGATGGGATCATGGCTGTCATCACCTGGTCTCCCTCTCAAGGGCTGGACCTGAGGAGAAGCAGAAAGTTGGGGTGGGATGTGAGGCAAACCACCCCAATCAGGAGCACAACTAAGACCTGAGGTACAGGGTGCTGTATCCAGATCCTCTTGCTGGCTCAAGTGCCTAGCATCCTTCCCAGGACACCGATGCTCTGAAGTTGGCTGCCAAGAAGCCTCAGATAAAAGAGGGTTTACAAACTTAGGCAGAATCTGAAGACCAACAGGCCAGGAACTGACAATAAGGCTCAAGAAACAATATTATCAAGTCTAACTCATTTCTCCTTCCGTAACCAACCATCATTCACAATCATGGGTAAGAAAAGGCCAGCTACGTACAGTATGTATGCGGGGTCTGGGAGACAGGCTGCAGGAAGACACCGCCCAGAAGGGGGGACAGCTGCTCCTCTACCTCCCATCAGTGCTCTCATTCTTTAGTGTCAAGAATCCTAACACTTGCCAGAAGCGATGGTGCACACCCATAATCCCAGCACACAGGAGCTAGAGGCAGGGATATCACTTTGAGGCCAGCCTGGGCTAAGGATTTTGTGCAGGCCGGTCTCAGCGGGCTGGCTTCCTGCATGGCATAAGTTACCCTTGAGAAAGCTGGGCTAGAAGTGAGGTAGCCGGCTGCCTCTCAGGTCTCAATCTCAACTGTCTACTTTTGCATCACAGATATGCCAAATGGAGGCTTTCTGCAGTTCTCTAGGGCAGAGACCAGCTTCACAACGCTGTAACCAACCTACACCAGGAGCAGTATCATATATGCCCCCATTCCTGCCCTAGGGTTTCTCCCACATTCTGAGTGAGTCACCTGCTGGGCCCTGAACTGCAGGCAAGGAATCATCAGTGAGGCTGCCCCTGACCGACAGGGGACAGAACTTGATGGGTAAGTGCTTTTCCCATCAGCCCTAGAAGGGCATCCTTGAGATTCCAAGGCTCCTCAGAGACTCTGCAAGACAGAACCTGGTGAGGGCCAAGCCTGATAAGGCAACCTTGTATTGGTTTATTAATTAATAAACTAATTCGGTCTAGGAAAGCCTCCCTACTCAACCAAGAGGGCTCAGTGGTTCTCATGATGCACATTTAAATTTTTATTTTAGAGCTCAGTAACTTAACTCTGATTTGTCTCTGATGTAATAATTATTTAGAATATATTGGTGCTGCTCACACTTTCCCCCCTAATAAGCTCCAGTTTTAATATTGTATGTTTAAATGACCAGATCCATTACCTCATCTTTACAGTTTTTTTTTTTAGAGTTTTGGGGGTTTTTTGTGCATGGTATCAGTGTCTATCTTTTCTTAACATCCTTTTGTATTTAGAAAAAAAAAACGTACTCTACAATAAAAAATACGTAATTCAACTTGAAGATAACAAGTCAACTCTATTAATATATGGTCAATCTCGATAGTATGGTGTTTAAAAAATTCAATATTCACATCTAATTTAAAAAAATGTATGCTACGGGGGTGTCCAGAAGATGGTAAGAGCAGGAGTGAAAATGAACAAAATGCATTGTATACGTGTACGAAATTCTCAAAGAAAAACAACTTAAAATGTATCCCTATGACTATTCTCAGATGTAGGAGATATGGACAAAATATTCACCATGAGTACTCTTTTTCATACATAACCAGTCTGAAAACAACCTCCCTAGCCATTGAAAATTACAAGTTTGTGTGTTGTTTTTATAACTGAAGATTACCCAGCAGGTAATACGCTAGTGAATTTAGAAATTAACCGAGTACCAGGTGACTATACACTAAGATGCTCAAAAACCAAAAAGGTTAAATTGTTTACACATTAGTGAATATTAGCAACAGGCTATGATTAAGTCCTTACCTCTAAGGGTGTGAGGGTCCTGATAGACGCAGCAGTAAAGACCCAAACTCTTTCTTAATTGACTATTCATAGGTGAGCGTTTTATTTTTTCTTAAAACACTCATCCTTTTTCTCTCTCTAACACACACACACACACACACACACACACACACACACACACACACCCTTGGAAAAATAGTGTTTTGACAATGGTAAGGCTACGACCAAAGAGACCTGCATCCATCCAAAGGCCGTCCTGTCTTCTATGAAACTCCTCTGTGTGTATTCTAGCGCTGTCGTAATCGTGTGTGCGTGTGTGGGTCGCGTTACCTTTAGGGCCTGACGTCCATGCAGCACACCAGGCCTCAAACTTTCTGTCAGCAGCGGCTGGGACGGGGTCCTGCTTTCCCTGCCGTGCCCTGAGCCCCTCACCCTGTCCGCAGCCCGTGCACACGACGTACACACCTGAAGCGCCTGCAGGGCCGCAGCGCGTCCGAATACTAGCGATGTCACCTCGAGACGCTACGCCCCCGCAACGCGGTCACCCTCTGGCTGCAGTGACAGCTTCTCCGCCAGGCCACCTGCTAAGCGCTCTGGGCTTGGTGTGCGGCCGCCACACGGGACTCGCCACGGCGGGCGCCGAGAGCTGCTGGGCTGCAAGGCTGGCTGCGGGAGACCCTGCGCGTGGACCGCCAGGACACTGCTCACCGCAGGGACGCCGCACGCACCTGCACAGCACGGTCCGCGGCGCGACCGGAAGTGCGTCACCGGCCAGTCCCGCCCCTCCAGGGTTGCCCTCCCTCTCGGGGGTGCCCCTCCTGGCCTCTGCGGTTCCCCTCTGCTCAGGGTCTGTCGGTGGGGTCTGACGCCCGCGGACGTTGCTCCCGGGGACCTGGACAGCCCCCCCCCCCCCCGCGAGAAAGGCCACCCCAGCTTGTGGTCTTGGTGAAGTTGCAGGTGCCAGCAGGTGGACTGTGCCAGTGCAGCGCGTCACAGGCTGGAGGAACCACGGTCCACTTTAAAAATAAATGTTACGTAATGTCATGCAAGGCTGCTGGGCTTTCGTCGCAGCTGTTCTGGAAGCTGCGGCTGGAGATGTAGCTTTGTGGTACAATGCTTGTCTGTCCCTCTGGGTTCGATCACCAGTGCAAATAATAAAATAACCACTTTGTCCTTAGCATGAAATTCCCAACTACCTACTGTCCTCACAAGAAAACAACTCTCACCTTAAAGGGAAGAGGAGATAGTTTATTCTGGACCCAAACTGGACTGATCATACCCAGGAGCGCAGATTTAGGTTATTTCAATTCCATGTTCCAAAGTGGACGCCGTTTCATAGTTTTACAGAGCAAAGTCCTTAATCAAAGCAAGTTTAAAATACATTGGTGGTCACATCAGAGAGGTGACTACAGCAAGATGGGGGGCCGATAGATGCTATCTGATAATGTTCTGGGCTTTGGGGTTGGTGGGAGCTAGTGACCAAGTGCTAGATACCAAAGGGTGTTGAATCTGTTGCCTCAGGATGTTAGTTCTGACAAAGATGGGCAAGGAATGGTTATTCGGATTCTAAAGCTAGGCCAAAATAAGATAATTAGCCTCTGCACCTGCATCATTCTAGCCTCGCCACATCACTGCCTAGAGAGCCACAAATTATACATTTTTTAAGGAAACATGAATATAATTATAATAGAAATACTACACATTGAATGTCACAACCACACAGAGTTGTTGCCTTTTCCTAGTGTTTTCAAAAATTATAAAAGTGTGACCTAAAATGTTGAACGCTTTTGACAAAAGTTCTGAGTGAAATCCAGGATAGTCTTTCTATCCCGGTTAGATATAATCCTGGAATTACTACATGTTAAAACTGTGTGAACATGCATTGTGTAAGTCCTAGATTCAGGGCAAGGTTTTCCCTTACATGGATGACCAGAAGCCTGTTTGTAAGTCTGAGATCTTCCCCTGTAGGCAAGGCTGTCCTGCATGACATCCTCTGTGGCACTTCTGACCTCCATGCACAACGCAAGCCCACCATCGCCAACAAATGTTAAAAAAAAAAAAACACATAAAGTCCAGGAAGGAATCCTGGGAGAGGGTAGACAGCGCTAAAAGCCCCTGGGCTGGACCCTTATTAGAAATTCTCCTTCCTGTAAATGCTCAAAAAAATCCCACCTCTCATGGAGGAGGTATTGGGGATTGATGGCTGCTGTTGGAAGGGAAGCTTATACTTCTCCTTCTTGCCTATGGTTGTTTATTACCATTGATCAAAGCTGATCATTAGTCATTAAATGACTGTTCCCCAACCAAACATTTGACACTTAGCTTGACACCCAAAGAGTCTACACACGCACGCACACACACACACACACACACACACACACACACACAATAATGTATTGCCACTTCAGATCAAGCCTTCTCATCAGTTTGCCTTCAAGAATGGAGCCTCTTTGATTCTGTAAATGCCATTCTAGTCTTTCACTGTTGTGCTTACAAGGGGACAACCGGCCTGCATCTGATTAGACACCGATCCACAAATGCCATCTCAGCACTCCCCTGCATCCACTTTACTGCTCCAAGTGTTCATCCACCCCCCACAGGCTCACTCTGCCTCATACTCAGCCCACAAGGCACGCTTTTGAGTCAATATTGGTCCTGGTCAGCTTGCACCAGACCCTCCATAGGACACTGAAATAAAGAGCCAGGCTGTCTGTATTTAAGGATGCCCAGCAGAGGGCACTCGCTACCTATGGGACTGGAGGAGCAGTACATTCTGCTTCCTGAGAGTCTTCCTGGAAAAAAAAGATGCTTCTAGAATCTCACAGCTGCTGTTCGATAGGGACTTGGATAGCCTATCTTTATACCTCTAGAAACCAGCTGGCGAGGACACAATGTTGTCAGTGACGTGTACAAGACTAGATGTGTGATGCCCTGTGCCCATTAGCAAGCAGCTCTCGGGTGCAGGTTCATTCCACCCCATAGATTCTGGGAGTCAGACTCAGGTGGTCAGGTTAGGTGGCAAGCACCTTTCCCTACCGAGCCATCTTTCCAGCCACCGAGGATGACTTTATACTTGTTATTTTATTATGTGTGTATGGGATGGGGGTATGTGCCTGTGAATATAGGTGCCTGTTGGGGGCAGAGGCACTGACTGGATCCTCCTGGTTCTGGAGTCACAGGCAGTCGTAAGCCACCTAACACGAGTACTCAGAAATGAGTTCAGGTCTTCTGCGAGAGCAGTCTGTGTCTTAACCGTGGAGCCACCTTTACAGCCCATAGTAGAGGGTTTTAAAAGCATATGCATTAGAGCAAGAAAATAATTCTAGGACTGTCTCACTTCATTTTTTATGTTTAAGCCTTTGATTAACTTCAGAGTTTAGTCAGGTGTTGAAAACACCATTTTAATAAGTTTTTATAAAATTGACAGTTATCCTCTAAAGTTAATTTGTAAATGGATTTTTTTTTCTCAACTCAAAAAGCTTTTGTGATGGTGGGGGGGAGGTTGTCAGGCAGTGGTGGACACCTTTAATCCCAAAATTCAGAAGTCAGCCTGGTCTACAGGGTGCATTCCATGACAAGCCAGGACGACACAGAGAAACCCCGTCCAAATGCCAAACAAAGAAAACCAACAAAACTTTTCTTTCATTGAAAAGTCATCTGAGACAGTGCTTAAGTTCCCATGTAGCCTAGGCTGGCCTGGAACTTGCCATGTGTGGGATGTGGGAAGCATGGAGGTCCTTGTGCTCACAGATAGACAAACCAGGATTGCTAAGCACATAGCGTTGTTTCTTCAAAGAAAGGGTGTAAACTGCTATCTACCCAGAAGGCGGGGAACAGACGAGGTTGACAGCCTTGTGATCTTTGCTTTATCAATGTGGCCAAGCCCACTCTGAATCATCCCCCAAGACCCTTATTATGAGCTTTTCAATCTACAGAGTCCACCTTTATGGAACATGTCATAAGTATTTTACAAAGAGTTTTGATGTAGTCACATCTTAAGCTTTATTGTGTACCTGGAGTTAAGTTAATTATTACCTGGAAAGTTTTCTCCAAATTGTGTTGTGCTTAAATATGATAAAAGCTACTTGGGGTCAGAGTCCTGAAATTTGAACTAACTCCAGCCACTTGGTCATTTTGAATCAAACTACCTTCTCGTTTCCCTCAGATCGTTTCTGTTGGCTGTGGTGGTGCAGAGAACCTCAAAGCCAAGTAACTAAGGAAAACCTTGAACTAATCCTCCTGCCTCTATCTCTGAGGTTCTGAGATTATAGGCATGTTCCCGGTTTTTACAGTGCTGGGGACTGACCCCAGTGCTCATGCATTCTTGGCAAACACTCTGCAAACTGATCCAAATCCCTAGCCTCTGGGCTTTTCGTTTAGTTTAGTTTTGTTTTGTGCCTTATTCATTGTTCTATTTCTGTGAAGACCTACGACATCCAAGGAAACTCTTATAAAAGAAAGCATTTGATTAGGAGCTTGCTTATAGTTTCAGAGGCTTAGCCCATTACCATCATGGTGGGGAACAGGGAAACACACAGGTAGACATGGTATTGGAGAAGTAGCTGAGAATTCTACACCCAGATCCACAGCCAGTAGAAAGAGAGAGTGACACTGGACTTGGATTGGCCTTTTTAAACCTCAAACCCACCCCCACTGAGACACTTCCTCCAGCAAGCCACACCTACTCCAACAAAACCACACCTCCAAACCCTTCTCAAGCCGTGCCATTCCCTGATGACTAAGAATTCAAATATATGTGCCTATGGGAGCCATTCTTTGGTTTGTTTGTTTTTCTAGAATTCTTCCATTAAGAAAATGGTTTATATCATTTCTTCTTTTTCTTTTTCTTTTATTCTTCTCTCATATATTACATCCCCTTCCCACCACCCCTCCCAGTCCTTTCCTCCCCACCTCCCTTATCCCCTGGAGCTACTCCTCTTCCATTTCCCTTCATAAAAAAAAAAGCAGGCCTCCCTGGGACACCAAACAAATATGGCGTAACAAGTTACACTAAGACTAGGCACAAACCCTCATATCAAAGCTGGATGAGGCGACCCAGTAGGAGGAAAAGGGTGCCAAGAGCAGGCAAAAGAGTTAGAGACAGCCCCCCCCCCACTCCAGCTGTTAGAAGTCCCACAAGAACACCAAGCTATACCACCATAACATATATGTAGAGGATCTAGCTCAGACCCATATAAGGTCTGTGGTTGTCACTGCAGTCTCTGTGAACTTCTATGAGCCCTACTTAGTTGATTCTGTGGGTTGTATACTCGTGGTGTCCTTGATCCCTTTGGCTCCTGAAATCCCCTACCCCAACCTCCTCTGGTTCTTCCTGGTATTTGACTGTGGGTGTCTGCACCTGCTCCCGTCAGTTGCTGGATGACACCTCTCTGATGACAATTAGGCTAGGCGCCCATCTATGAGTATAGCAGATATTGTTGGAAATCATTTCATTGATTTTTTTTTTCCTAGTTGTGTTTGGCTCTGTCCTGGGTATCTGGGTTACCGACCCCTGGTTCCCAGCCATCCAGGCAGCACTAGGCATAAGGCCCTTCTCATGGTGTGGGCCTCAAGTTGGACCAGTTCTTGGTAAGCCACTCCACGGAACCATTCTTGTTTAAATGACCACATCTTGAAATCCCTGTCTTGTACATTTCTTACACTTTCCCATCTGCAGCCGTTTGGCCAACTAGCCCTTTTACTCTATCCAACTAGAAATCTCAAATGCTAATTTTTGGCAGCTTTTTGTATTCTGGTAGACCTTGATGGCAGTGAGTGGCGGTCACAGGCAGGAGGGATC